CCTTGGTGTCACCTTGTGACATGAAGCAATGTGGTATGTAGGAGAGCTTGTAGTAGCAATGTCATCCGGGCATGATCCATCATCATAACCATCAAGTGTGCATGAGGTAACATCATCATTTGCAATACTTGTGGCATCATCAATCTTATCAAGTGAACTTGTAGTGGATCGATCATCATCATCACTTGACCATGAGGTGGAGCAATCTTCCACAATCACCAAATTGTGGTCATGCTCAACACACCCATGCGCAACCTCATCCTTGGACCCATCTTCCTTCTTGAATTTGCCATCATCCCATGTGGAGGAGTCACCGAAGGTGTGCTTGATTGATTCCCACAATTCATGAGCGGTTCCTTTGTGGTTCACCTTGTAAAACAACTCAAAGCTCAAAGCATCCATTAGATATAAATAGGCATCGACATCAAGTTCAAAGAGAACCTTTTGAGCTTTGGTTAGATTTTTATGTCCAAGACATGGGTGAGACCACTTGTGACGACCCACCAAAATTTAGGTCCCTTTGCACGAATATGATCAATCATATGGTGTTTTCACCGTGCAAAGTGTGTGCCATCAAAAATATGTGTGTGACAATCATCTAGCCCACTAGACGACATCCCCTCGGGTCGGTGAAGACCACAAATGAGAGACCAAGCTCTGATACCACGTGTAGCGTCGAGATGGCGGACTAGAGAGGGGTGAATAGTCCTTTCTAAAACTTAATCGCACCGGCTAACCGAAACAAATGCGGAATTAAAACTATCGGTCTAGCCAAGACTACACCCTTCTATCTGAGTTCACAAGCACCTTATAAAGATCCTAAAGATGCAACAAAGGTGCCAGGCTAGCTAGAGCTCACCTAATCAATTCTAGAGCAAGGTCACACAAACATATGCACTAGTACTTCATACAACCAGGGGAGCTCTTACACTAGTGATGCAAAAGCACAAAGCCACCTAAGCTCACTAGCAATGCTCAATAACAAGGCTACACAAGCCAAATTATAGAGCACAAAATACTTAGCTACACAAACTAAGCAATATGGCTAACAAGGTTACTAAAACCAAATTAGTCACGCAAGAGAGCTACTTCTATGCTTCACAAGCAAAAAGGCAACTAGCAAGCTACTAAAGCTAAACTAGTCATAAGAGCAACTACACAAGCACAATGTATGAAGTGTAAATACAAGCTTGTGTTGCACGAATTGCAAACCACCGAGAAGATGATGAAGACAATGTTGACACGGTGATTTTCTCCCGAGGTTCACTTGGTTGCCACCAAGCTACGTCCCTGTTGTGTCGATCGCTCACTTGGTGGTTCAGCGGCTAATTGGCATCACCCGCCAAGCCCACACGTCGGGCACCGCAACAACCTACCCCAAAAGTGAGGGTAGCTCAATGACACGCTCACCTAGAGTTGCTCTTCGCGATCCCCGTGGCGTGAGCACAATCTCCCTCACAAATCCTCCTCCAGAGCACCGCACAATTTTCTCGCGTGCTTCAACGGAGTTACAAGCCACCAAGCCGTCTAGGAGGTGGCAACTTCCAAGAGTAACAAGCACCACCGGCTTGCAACTCAAACACCTAATGCCACTCGATGCAACCTCACGATGCAATCGCACTAGAATCGCTCACTCACTCGATTGGATGATCACTGTCAAGCACAAGTGAGTTAGAGGGCTCCAAAGCACACCTACACAAGCCACCAAGGCTCAAGGGTGCTCAGCAACCAGCCAACACTTCTATTTATAGCCTCACGGGCTAAACTAGCCGTTGCCCCTTCACTGGGCGTTTTTTGGGCTGACCGAATATGCCGGTCGCAATGACCGGATTTGCCGGCCCAGCATCCGGTTGCGCTACACCGTCCATGTGTCGCTCTACGTTTAACCGGAGCCGCCCGGTCTCAACAGTAACTTCACGCGCCAACGGTCACAAGACGACCGGACGCACCACTGGCATGACCTGACGCTCGAGCCCCAGAGTCCGGTCACGAATAGAGAGCTCCTAGAACCTCGATTCCATGACCTAACGCGTCAGATGAACCGCGACCGGACGCACGGCGGCGTCCGATCCTCACTGCGCGCCAAGATCTCCTTCAGCCCCTCGCCACATCACCATACGTCACGGTCGACCGGACTTAGCCCCTACGCGTCCGTTCGCGCCAACACGCCGTCCTTCAAAAGGTGACCGGACGCGCCGGTGAAACCAGGGCCAGCGTCTGGTCCCAACTCGTTTCCTTTGGACAGCCAGCGCGCCACGGGTAAAATTCACCGGACGCGCAGGTCCTCTCGAGGCCTGCGTCCGGTCACCTCCAGGGACCACTTTTCACCTCCATTTCTTCACCGAGTTGATCCGCTTCAACTCCAACTTCTCCTTTGCAAATATGCCAACACCACCATGTGTATGTGTGTTAGCATTTTCACAATCATTTTTAAGGAGTTAGCCACTCAACTTACCACGCCACTCGATCCTAGCAACGATGCAAAGTTAGATCACTCGAGTGGCACTATATGACCGATATGCAAACAAGTTTGCCCCTCTTGATAGTACGGCCATCTGTCCTAAACCTGGTCATCAACTTCTCTACACACCTATGACCGGTGAAATAAAATGTCCTAGGTTATACATTTGCCTTGCACATTCCTTTCCATCTCCTCCAATGTCGATGAAACACATGCACCAACATGATCGACAATGATATGATCCACTCCATATCATCACGTGACCATATTGGTTCATCGATCTTGACTTCACTTGCTCTTCACCGTTGCTTCGGTCCATCGGCGCCAAGTCATCACTCAACTTGCCCTTCACACTTGTAACCGGTCCGTCGAGCCAAGTCATGTCTTGATCTTCTCCACCTTGATCACATAACTCAATGTCATGTCTCATGTGCAATGAGCCCATTCATCATCACATGTGTAAGCTTTGCAACAACTCCGAGCCATCTTCACCGTCATGGCATATGTTGCTCACACATATGTACTTGTGGACTAATCACATGTGTATCACTCAAACACATATTAGTCCACCTAAGGTTGTCACTTAATTATTAAAACCAAACAAGGACCTTTCAGCGGGGTGGGGTGAGAGACGAAGCAGGTGGAGTGTGGTTTGCTCCCTTTGTTTTATAATATTTTATACTCCTTTATGAAATCATTATGAAGGACAGGCTTAGCGCAGTGGTGAGAAGCCTTCCCACTGAGCCAAAGGTCCTGGGTTTGACGTAGGCTCTATGCACAATGCAGAGATAAGGCTTGCCTCGATTATTCTTTTTCCTAGACCCCACTCATGTGGGAGCCGTCAGCATTGGGCCTATCCTTTTCATGAAATCATCATCCAAATCAAGGGAGCAAGATGCACGGATTAATTCATCATCTCGATGAAATGAATAATTCATCATTCGTTGCCTGATAAGAGCATCTCCGACAATATCTTAAAAAATGAGTCCTAAATACTTGGTTTGAGAACCTTTCCAAAAAACTATTAGGTATGAAAAAACACACTCCAAAAGTTCTTTTTTTCCTGAAAAACAGACACGTCGTCGTTGTCGTACATGCCGACTTGCCACAACTTACCGCCTTGGCCAGCCATCCCCAACACCCTAGCTCACACCGAAAACCTTCGAAACCGAATTTTCATTACCTGCTCTACATCCAAGTATTCTTAGATCTAAACATAGTGACTGCAGTTTTGGCGAACCTCCTACGCGGTGACGGCGGTGGCCAAGCCATGGCTGAACATCTCCATCATCATAACTCAATCACACACCATAAACTCCCAAATGGAATCTCCGTTGCCTACTCCTCATATCTGAAAATAGTGGTTGGATATCCAATTCTAACGAACCCTCCAGGTAGCGACAGTGGCAAGCAGTCGGTGATAAAGGGGAGTGCGAAGAAAAATGACAACAGCGTCAAGGCCGCCACCATGGAATATTATCATCCACGTAGCACAAAGGGAGTGCACAGGAAAAAAAGAAAACAGCGCCAAGGCCACCACCACCACCGATGGAATATGTATCATCCGCACAGCACGAGGAGATTGAGAGTCAAGCGCAATAAATTAGGAGTTAGGATAATTCAAGCGTGGTAGATTGGGAGTTTACGGATTAGGTGCACGATAAATTCGAAGCTAGAATAAGGCGTTGTTGGAATATGTTTTTATGCTCTAATAACCCTGCTTGTTGCGCCGTTTGGAGCACGGGCATTCTGGAAGAGTCAGATTCATTTTTAACAAGCATAATTAAAAATTCTCCTAAAATCCTTCAAAATTCTAGGCTGGAACATGAAATTTAAAACCACACCAGAATGGAGTTTAAAAAGCTCCTGATATCGTCTCTGACTTGAGTTTTGAAAGCTCGTGATATCGTCTCTGAATTCTAAGTCCATGAGCATTCGTCGCATCATAAAACATCTAAGAAGATACAGTGCTTTATCAAAGAAGAAGAGGAAGATACAGTGCCAGACTGAGCGGCCGGCGGCGCATACTCGCAATCAAGGCATTCACCAGCCCACAACATTTCCACAAGAATAAGAGTAGCAATCACAATCCAACCATCCAATGGCATAGGAAAGCCCCTACGGCCTATGAGACGGCACAAAATCTTAGGAGACCGGAGGCGACGCTTCATCCCACTGGCGACATTGTCCTCCCCTGCAGATTATTAGAGTTGAAGGGCAGGAACGCACAATTGCAGCTAAATACGAAAGAAGCAGCCATAATGCAGGCGGAACATGGCAGGCAGAACTCTTACAACATGGTCTTTTTTTCTCCTCTGTTTTCGCTTGATGTAAAAAGGGTCTATGGGGAGTTAAAATGAAATGAAACAAGAACAGCATGAGCATGTCATCAGATGCGAGATCTAGATACACAAGCCACCACCACACCAACCAGGAGGGGCTCGCTCCGCTACCTACAGCATAAGGGCAACGACAAACAACGAAAACACAGCCAAACTGGGTTTGCTGAGCCACATTACGGCCTCGCCTGCCTTCTGCTTCAGCTTCGTGCTTCTCTGCCCAGCTGTTCAAGCCAAGATGCAACACCGAACCCAGGCAGGAGCCATCCACTCTTCTTCGCGTGCTCCACATAGGAAAGGAACTTCTCCCTGGCATCAGGAATGTCGAGAGCCAGGTCATCGAGCCCATCCCTGACCCTTGAGAACCCCTTGGTCATCTGGTTGATGGTTATGATCCCTTCACCAAAGCACTCCTGCAGCAGGCTTAGGGTCCTCTCATTCTTCTTCTCCATTGCCATCACGAGTGCCTTCTTGACAACTTCATGGTTGAAGAAAGACATACCCAGCTCACGGATGCAGTTGCATGCTTCCCCTAAATCACCTCCACTTTCGTACTCCTCCAGGAGCTTTGTTATCTTGTCCTTGGCATCCTCCACAGCCCATCCGGTTCCACCACCCCAGCACCTCAGAAGCCTCTCACCAGCATGACGGGCTGATGCAAGGGGAGCGTGCCATGTTCAATGTTTCAGCCCGCTGCAGTTTGGTGGAAGCTTGCTGCTAATCTCATCCAAGTTTAGAGGTGCAAGAACATCATCAATCACAGCCCTGGCTAGGAACAGTCCCAGCGCATCTGAGGCATCCAATATATCCAGTGCGGTGTCTTCTGCAGATTCAAGGAGCATTATGAATCCCTTGGCGATGTCTTCAGACGAGAACAGCTCCATGCTTAATGAGGATAGAAGAACTGATGCCATCTCTTTCTCCCTGTTCTTGCGGTCCATAGCAATTGTTATGAGCTTCTTGATGAAGATTGGGTTATATTCTGGATAACCAAGCTCTTTGACACTACGGATAACCTCTGTTGTATCATCAGAGAGAAAGTATTCGTGTATTATAGAAACAGCCTCCCTCTTGTACCTTGCCAGCTTCTCATGTTCATCATCTTCAACGCTTCCGTTGACACCTGACTTCACATACGAAGAATCTAGCCATCCCTCAGAAATGGCTTTTGATACCAACAGCTGAAATTCAGACTTTGCAGATGGTATATCAAGAATGAGATCATCAAGACTCTCAGCAACCCGATAGAATCCTTTCATCATCTGACTAGAGCTTATTAAACATTCTTCAGATGCTTCCTTCAGAAGTTTGACAATAAGAGCTTCAGCAGCTGGACTCTCCATTCCAAGAGTAAGAGCTCGCTTCACCACCTCATGATGAAAAAAGGGCACTGCCAGCTCTCTAATGCACCTACAAGCCTCAGCTGTATCACCATTTCTAATGTATTCCTTTAGAAGATCAGCAATCCTCTTCTTCACCTCTTCTACCGTGATGCGAGTTGAACCACCCCATCGTCGCTCAAGTAACTCTGCGTGGTGGGGTGCTGAAAGATAGCTTTTCTCTGCAATTTGTACAACCTGCATACCCTTTGAAGATCCTGAGAGACTCACTTTTGCCTTGCTAAGGAAAGCAGGTGGCAGAATGTCATCAACAACTGCACGTGCAATGAAAAGCGCGAGCACATCAACCACATCAGGTATGTCAACAGCCAGGTCATCAACAGCCTCTAATAGCAGCACAAAGCCCAGTCTGATTTGAGTTGAACTGACCACGTTGCCATAAAGATATGATAGAAGCACTGATGCCATCTCTTTCTCCTTGTCATGCCTGTCCATTGCTGTGGAAACAAGCTTCTTGACAAAGTAACGGTGGAAATCATCATAACCCAATTCTTTAAGATCAGAAGCAGCTAATTTCACATCACCATTGCTGAAATATTCCTCAATTAACGGGACAACAGCTTTCTTGTAGTCTTCTAGTGGGGTTGAAACAGGGGCTTCAACTAACTCGTATGGTTCCTGAGTCGCAAAAAGAGATCAACATCGATGTACATGTATGGTTGCTGAGATTGAACATTTGACACTCAATTGTTTGTAGCAGAGTGAAAGAATAAATGGGTCAAGACCATCAAAAGCCATTACCTCACCACTGTCATAATTTGGATCATTTCGGTCAAGGCATGCCTCTGCGTCAGTATCAATTAGTTTGCCCCAAGTCCCTTTGCCACCAGCTCCATCTGCAATAGAAACCTCAGCAAGTCAATTAGGATACAGTAGAACATAGATATATTTCACATTTTTCTATCTTCAAAAGTTTGAAACATGGTAATACTAATCTTAGGTATAACTCACAATAGTATTTATTAAGCTGTTGTAATCACATAGAGCCTAAGCCCAACTATGTGTGCACTTAGACCATAGGTAGTAAGTCAGCAATCTCATGCATAAAAAAACTCCCAAGAACTAAACAACTGATACTCCATAGCATGCAACAGTATCAGAAGACACATAGGTTTTCACAATAGTATAGTCAAAATTACACATTGCACACTTGCATTTCATATCTTTGCACAACACACATGGCAATCACATGTAATCAAAAGATAGTCGGCCACGTAGGCTGCATAACATTTGGCCATCCCTAATCTGATAAACTAGATCTAACACATAGATGGATCCTTTTATTGTTTCTTAAGTTGCAAGGGCTGCAATAAGAAGAATAAAGCTAAAGGAACATGAACCTCCAAAGCACACCTGACAACTGGTATTTTATAACAGTAAAAGTATGTCAATACATATCCTGCTTTCACATAAGAGATAACCATATGCATTCAGGGTAGACCTGGGAGCAAACATGCTTCTAAACATATCCCAAATACACCATGTGAATACAAAACAAATTAAGGAAACCATGACTGAAAGTGTCAAGGGCGTCGACGCCCAAGACAGCGGGTCCTCGGCTATGGAGCTCGTAGCCTTGACTGATAATGGCGTCGGGGTTGTTGCCCGGCTGCCCAATGGTGAAGGAGGTGAGATTAGGAAGAAGAGAGAGGATTAGGGTTGGTAATTCTTGCGTAATCCAAAGAGTGCCGATTACATGGATTATATAGGCCCGTGGCCTGCTAATAAAAAGGAAACAAACTCCTTTATTCTAGCAATATCTGATTAGCTCCTTTATTCTAGCAATATTTGATTGTCAATCTGCATGTATGCATGCCTAAGTCTTCTCTCCTGAATACGTGGCGGCGTCGGTCTTGGGCGCCCATGACATCTCTCCCCCCTCGACGAGAGCAGCTCGTCCTCGGCGGGAATGTGGGGTAGCGGGCGCGGCAATGGCTGCCGAGGTCTTCCCACGATCTTGATGAAGTGGGTTCGCCTTCCGGTGAACGCAGCAACGGTGACGAACGCCACGGTTAAAGCGAAAGCGGCCAGCGTGACGCGTCGAGTTCTAGGACCACCGCTCCGTGGTGGATCGGTGGTAGGGCCGGTGGCGATGTCGGCGCGTCTTAAGCGAACTTCTTCGAGAGGCCGACGTGGAAGACGTCGTGAAGGCGGGCGCGATCCGGCAGCTCCAGCGATGGCGGCGTCGTTGATGACGGCGGCGGCAATGCGGCCCGTAAAGCGGGGTTTAAGTTTGCCCGTGGTCGAGCTTGGAGGGACGCCTGCGGCCGCAGCTGCCGAAGGCGAGCCAGAACCAGATCGCCGACGGCGTGGTGGACCTCCACCATGGTGCTTGTCGTAGTAGGCCTTGTACACCGCTTTGAGCTTTCTTTGAAGCCGGTAGCGGACGTCGGCGAAGCGGCTAAATCACGTTCCGCCATGGACTTGGCCACACCGCAACCACAGGTGTCACCGGGCTCGTAGGAACGGATCGTGGGCGGGTCACGGCCATAGACGATCTTGAAGGGCATGTCCTTGAGCGCCGTCTGGAACGCCGTGTTGTAGATGAACTTTGCCCATGGGAGCCAACGTACCCATTGCCAAGGACTATCACCGGTGAGGCAGCGGAGGTACATGACGATGATCTTGTTCGCGGCCTCTGTCTGTCCGTCCGATTGCGGGTGGAACGCCGACGTCATGTGGAGCTTGGTGCCCGTGAGCTGCATGAGTTCGCGCCAGAATGCCGACGTGAAGATGGGATCTCGGTCGGAGACCATAGACCGCGGGGGCGCCATGGAGGCGTACAATCTCTGCGAAGAATGCCGAGCCACCGACTCCGCCATGTCGGGTGCGCGAGGGGATGAAGTGGCGATGACTAACGAAGCGGTCCACCACCGTTAGGATGACAGACTTGCCGCCATGCGCTGCGGAGCGCCTTCGATGAAGTCGAGGCCGATATCGATCCTGCATCACCGTCGGGGCGGGCGTGATAGGAGACCAGCGGTGCGGTGCTCGGACTTGTACCGTGGCGGGCGTAAGCGCAGCGCGGATGTGATCTTACCATTGTCTTGCGAAGGTTGGGCGAGTGGAAGTCCCGACGGGGCGATGGGCGTCTGTTGAACACCCTCGTGTCCGGTCATCGTGGACGGCGGTGAGCACCTCGTGGAAGCGATGGCGTCTTGCGGCGGAATGTAAGGCGGTCGTTGAATGCAACGAGGTCGTCGAGGAGCGACCGAGGAGCCGCGTGTACCCGCCGCCAATTAGTCCCCGGCGCCACCAGAGCCGGATCGGTGGGCGTAGCTTGCCGGGCGGTCGATGTAGTCGAAGCGGGGGCCGAGATAGCGAGGCCACGGCCTCCTCCGTGTCGCGGCGAAAAGAAGCGTCCGCGATCGTGTTCGTGTTCCCCGCCTTGTACTCGACGGAGAAGTCGAAGCCGAGGAGCTTGCCCACCCGATGGTCTTTGTGGAATGGTGGCTGCCCGATCCAAGAAAACTTGAGATCGAAATGGTCGGGTCCTTACTGCAACAGCGTCCCCACAAGTATGGCCTCCAATGGCGGATGGCGAGGACGAGGCCAATGAGTTCACGTTAGTATGCCACCAAGGGCGCATGGCGTGCTTACGGTCGGCTTCTTGAAGAACGCCAACGTGTCTTTGGTCTGGAGGAGCACCGCTTGAACCCAGAATCGGACGCGTCGCACTCGGCGCAAAGCGCGCCGTTGAAGTCGGGCGGCGAGAACAAGCACCGTCGTCCACGGCTTTGTCTTGAGGGCGGCAAAAAAGCCACAAAGCTTCCGGTGTCGGAGAGAACCCTTCCTTGCGGAGGAGGGTCATCGGGCGCGATCGTCTTAGAACTCCCCGACAAACTTCTTGCGTAGTACCCCCACGAGCCGAGAAGCCCGGACCGCCAGCGCCGCGAGCGAGGCTGCAACCGGTCGACCATTGCTTGGACCTTGGCGGGATCCATGGCGACACCCGCAATGAGGAGATGATGTGGCCGAGGTAGGAGATCGATTCGACCCGAAGGCGCGCTTGGATCGCTGCGAAGAGGCGATCTTTCTTTGGATCGTCTTGAGGAGGACGGCGCGCGCGCGTGGCGAAGATGATCGGCCCATGACTCGTTGTACTCATTGTAGATGAGGATATCGTCGAAGAAGACGCGAGGACGCAGCGGCGTAGGAAAGAAAGCGCGGGGCGTCGTGCAGGCATGGCGCCGGAACGTTCGTGCGCGTTCGCGGGCCGAACGGCATGACGAGAAATTCGTAGAGGCCGTCGTGGGTCGCGGAAGGCGGTCTTGGCGACGTTAGCGACGCTGCATCCGAACTCGGTGGTAACCGGCCGGGCGCTTGGTCGAGCTTGGTGAAGAAGCGGGCGTGGCGGGCTCGTCCGATGCTTCGTCGACCACCGGAATCGGAACACATCCTTGATCGTGATGGCGTTCGAGGCACGATAGTCCACGCAGAATCGCCAGAACCATCGACCTTCCGGACCAAGAGGACCCGGGCGACGAAACGCCAGGAATCTGCGGCGAATGATGCCTGGGCCATCATCGCGCGCATTGGCGCTCAATTCATCCTTGTCTTGGCGGCAGAAATAGCGATGCGGCGGACGACCACCGGGCGGATCCGGCGAAGGTTGATGCGATGGTCGCGGTGCGTCTGGGAGGCATCTGCGTAAACTCGGCGAAAACGAGGGCAAACTCCTCGAGGATGGCGGTGAGAGATCGGCGCCGATGCAGGCCTGGATCGTCGAGCCTGTGGGAGCCGCTGTGCCGCACCAACGCATCCGGCGGCCGCCACGCCAGAAGGACATGGTGAGGGCACCGAATCCCACGAATCGAAGCCAGCGTTGCCGTACTGAGTCCCGGAGACGACGTCGTACCCGAAAATGGCGGGCGTGAAATCCGCGGTGAACTCCTCCGCATTGATGGAGAAGAACGCACGTTGCGGAACACGCCGGCAACCTTTGACGCGCTTCGCCATTAGCCACTGTGACCCGCAGTTGGCCCTGGGTGATGGTGGGCGGCGAGGCGGCGGCGGCCTCCTCGGCGATGAAGTTGTCGTCGGCCGAATGATCGATCAAGGCGAGGAGGAAGTGCACGCCCATCGTGAGACGATCTGCATGGTCTGGCTGGTCGCGCGCCAATGATATGGCGTGGAGTGAGATCTGGGGCTCATTTGGAGTGGCCTCGTCGGTCTCGAGTCGGTGTCGTCCTCGGCCGCGCCAAGTCGAGGAGGAAGATGCGTTGGCGACGCGGGTTGTAGCCTCGCCCAAACTTCGTTCTGCGATTGAAGCGAGGGCCTAGGCGGCGGCGCCTCTCCATCTCTACTGCGACAGCGCTTGACTGGCGGCCCTCGACGATGATCCAGTATGGCCAACTGGCGGGGCCCGTGTTAGGCGCCGCAAGCGCCAGACGGGGTGTGGCGCCGTGAGAGGCCCTTCGGTGATCACGCTACAGCCGTGGTGGTGGGCCTTGCGCCGCCATGCAGACATCTTGCTCATGAGCTCAACTTGCGCGGGCGAGGCTCGTGGCGGCAATGAGGGATCGAGGTTGTGGACCTCGACGTCCGAGGCTAAGCAGTATTGAGAGACCCCGGTGAAAGAGCCGGGCCTTGTTCCTCATCGAGGCGCCCGGCACGAGGAGGCGCTTGAAATCGTTCTGATACTCCTCGGCGAGTCTTGCGTGCGCTTGCACGAGGCCAACTCGTGGAGGAGATTGGAGCGCAGCGGTGGTACGTAGCGGAGATGGAGAAGATCCTTGAAGCGGCGCCATGAGGGGATGCCTTGATGCACACTCGGACCTAGATGTACCACAATTGGGCGCCCTCCTCCAAGTTGTAGGAAGCCATCCACTTTCTCTTCCTCCATGATCCTTTCTTTGGTGGAAGTAGGATTCGCACCGGTTGATGAAGATCGTGGTCGGACTTGCCGTCATAGCGCCGGAAAGTCGAGCTTTTTGAAACGCGCGGCCGATCTTGGTGGTGCTCCCCAGACCCGAGAGTGTCGCGGAGGATGACGAACCGCCCGGCGGTGGCAGCGCCAGCGTCGGTGCTACCGAATAGCCTAGGCGTTAGCCTCCACAGACGTCGTCTGGAAGCGTCTGATGGACGCGACCAGAAGTCAAATCGCTTTGCAAAGCGGCGTTATTAGCGTTATTCACGATGTTATCGCCCATGGCGTGTCTGCGGCGTGGGGTGGTAGCGGCAGCAGGAAGGGTGGAGACGACGATGGCGGCGATGGTGGTGGTATTTGGGTGAGGAATTCTGGATCGTGATACCAGGTTGTCAAGGGCGTCGGCGCCCAAGACAATGAGTCCTCGACTCTGAGCTCGTAGCCTTGACCCGATAATGGTGTCGGGGGGTTGTTGCCCACGCCCAATGGTGAAGGAGGTGAGATTAGGAAGAAGAGAGAGATTTGGGTTGGTAATTCTTGCGTAATCCAAAGAGTGCCGATTACATAGATTATATAGGCCCGTGGCCTGCTAATAAAAAGGAAACAAACTCCTTTATTCTAGCAATATCTGATTAGCTCCTTTATTCTAGCAATATTTGATTGTCAATCTGCATGTATGCATGCCTAAGTCTGCTCCTGAATACATGGCCGGTGTCGGTACTGGACGCCCCACATGACAGAAAGACAAAAAGGTAAGATCACATTCTAACCAAAGTTTCTAAACAAAAAAGGAAATGGTTGAAAGTAAGGCTATAACAGCACTGCAGACCATGTTTTGATGTGCATAGATAGCTGGCAGCACTATTGCAAAGCAATGCAATATTGTGTTCAGTGAAAACAAGAATCGACAATTAAATAATGGCAATAGAAGCACATGCTATAAGAGAAGGTATGGATTTTCCGCTCAGCCCACTTTCCAACATGCAGGTTGCGTGCACATATGCATAGACAAAGTCCAAATATCATCAGCTATAATTGCCAACTGAAAGGAATGGAACAATTCTGGATGAATAGGTTCAAGCTAAAGGATGCTCTACTGAACCCCAACTAGGAGTTCAGGACACAATTTGCAAAACAGGATGATAGGTGATTAATAAATAATAGGTTCAAGCTAAAGGATGCTCTACTGAACCCCAACTAGGAGTTCAGAACACAATTTGCAAAACAGGATGATTGGTGATTAATAAATAATAGGCTCAAGCTAAAGGATACTCTACTGAACCCCAACTAGGAGTTCAGGACACAATTTGCAAAACAGGATGATAGATGATTAATAAATAATAAACAAATGAAGTAGCCATACTTCATAAAACAAATCACATACAGCACGTCCTACATGGTACCCACAGGAGCTACTTGAAGTGGTCACTCGAATTAGCAGCTGGCTTGTGGAAGATAGTTCACATCAAACCCACCCACAGTACAATTCGGTGGTTCAATCAACTGAAAGCTGGTTATCAGAACCAAGGGCACAATGTGCACCGTCAATTTTACGTTACCATATTTGACTTCAGAACAGTTTGTACGGTTACACAGGTATACAACAAAAGAGTATGGTGGCGACAAAAATAGCTAAAAGGCTGGCGAATGAAGACAGAACAAACATAGTACCTAAAATGAACTGACCTTTCGACAGAAATCACTACACAGCCAAATATACAAATGTCATGGTCCAACTAAATCATTCCCTTATGGGTGGCTCAACCACCAGCTAATCCCCTATTGACAGCTCAGACTAAGTTAACCCGCGCATGGAACACCATGAGGCATCATATACGCAAAGCTAACTGTCTAAAAAACAAGCATGCAGATATAGCACAGAATATTTAAAACAAAGTGCTTCTATACTTAACCAACCTAAAATAACAATTTCAGTTGGGCAGATAGATATAAGCAGCTAAAAAAGCATCCATGTTTCTACACAATAAATTGCATCGATGCTACATTTCCGCTTTAATTATCATCTCCAAACCCAAGCTATGCAGTCTCAACACAACAAGAGCCCACCATCCATGGTGGCCCAATTTCACGAGCCACAGACACAGACTAGCAGGACACTAGAAATCCAGAGCTATAGGCAACAAGGAGACCCCACAAAAAGCATATCCCTATCCCTAATAAACAAGGAGAGCTATATGAAGCAGAGCTGCCGAACCTACATTAGTATCAACATAAGCAAAAACATCATGACACGCCACAAACAAGGCAGCAAATTAGTATCAACATTAGCATTACACCCTAATCAACGCAAACAAGGCAGCAAATTAATAATAGCAGCACATCATTCGCACAAACCAGCCTATCCTATCCTAAACAAACAAGCAAGGTAGTAAACATAGCAGGCGTGAATAGATCGAGCAGGCAGCGCCACCTCACCTTTCTTCACCTTGATGGTCTTCCCGGAATGCGACCGGCGCACGTGCCTGGGCCCACCTCCCCCTCCCCCTCCCCCTCCTCCGCCGCCGCCCCTCCCGCCACCAGCAGCCGCGGCGGCCGCTGCGGCGGTGGCGCGCTTCTGCTCCAGCATCTGCTGCTCGTACTGCTGCAGCAGCGCGGAGGTGGTCCCTCCCGTGGGCGAGCGCGGGGAGGCGAGCGACTGCGTCTCCGCGTTCTGCACCGCGATCCGCAGCTTCTCCCGCTGGTCCTGGGTCAGGAACCCCCCGTCCTTCCTCGGCGACGTCATCCCTCCCAGCCCTCCTCCTCCTCCAGCACCTCCCCAGCACCCACCACCGTCGTCAGCACCTGCAGCAGAAACAACAACAACGTATCAGCGGCACCGCTCGCGTGAGCGAAGCCGAAATGGGGGGAGGCGCGGTTTGAGCGAGGCGGAGGAGGATGAGGAGGAAGGGAGGGTTTCTCCCGCCCGTACCTAGGGTTTCGGCCGCGGATCGAGCCGGCGGCCCCGAACCCGTGCGCGAGATTTGTGTGCGAGCGTGGATAATTTTTTTCCTCCTTTCTCTCTCCCCACTCTCCTGCTGCAGTGCTGCTGGTCTCCGGGTAGAGAGAGAGAAACGGGGACGGCGACGCGAGTGTGACGGGAAGGATAGGGAGGCGAGGCGTGGCTTTATACGGAGGCGGCGTGGGCCCCATGCCGCGGACACGTCCCCGCACGTCATTGAGCCTGCCTTGTGGGCCTGCACGGCCCACTGGTCTGGTCCGGGCCGGCCGGCCGTCGCGGATCCCTATCCCGGGTCGTCTCCACCTGGCGCTGTCCGCGCGGCTGGCCAACGCCTCACTGACACGTGGGTGGGACTGGCCCTGGGCCCCGCGAGTCGGTGACGGAGGAAGGGCGTTGTTGGGCCGCCGCCGCTGCCTCGGGACGTGCGGCGTTTGGACCGGGCCGGCGTGGGAGTTAGGGTTTTGCTGCTCGGGAGGGAACGATTGGGTCGACGGGCGTTGAGGGGGATCGGGATCGTCTGTGGCGAACGGAACGGGGTCGGTGACTGTGGTGTGGTGTGGACAGGCGGTGGCTGCCTGGCTGGGGGACACTTGGCGGGCTTTGATTGGTGGTGGTGCTGTGGATAAGGCAAATCAGGGGCGGATGAGAATGACGCGTAGGATTTAAGTCAAGGTTCAGTCATCATCATTAGAGTATCTCGCTCACGCCAAAATACGATCGGATTCAGATCGATTACCTGGAGATCACGGTTTTCCTTGGGCTGAGAGGAGCCCGCCCATCTTTTCGGCACAAAGTTTGTTGCAGTAGAAACGTTCCGTTTCGTGCTTTCAGCACACAGAAAGGATCGATTCTGGTGACGGTTGTTCTTTTCTTTAATATATAAGGATGACGATTGATTTAAAATATCATTTTATTTTGGACTTATGCCCTGTTCGCTTGGCTGATAAGCTAAAAATACTATTGACTAATTTGTTGTGAGAGAAAAATATTATTCATTGGCTGAAAAAATATGGCTTACAAGGTAAGCGAACAGGGCGTTAAGTGTTGACGGGGTGGCTCATTTGACAAGTAAAGTAGAACGAAGGTGGTTGGTTTGTTAGGCTTGCCTTGAACTTATCCAAAACCAGGGGGCGCTTGTCGGCGACGGAAAGCGCTAGCGTTTCATCATCTTTCTTTTTTCTTTTCTGTTTTTTTGAGAAAATTCATCATCTTTCATGGACAAGGCATTTCTTGGCCGCTCTCTTTTGGATCAGCAGTTTGGCTCGACCCAAAACGTAAACATATCGTTTTATTGGCTGCACCGTTATGTTCCAAGTCTCTACTATAATGGACCAGTCGAAATTATACTAGGTCCCCCCACGAAAACATCCCCCGCTGGGAGCCTCCAACCATTGCGCACCCAGAAAAATACACACACGAATTCAGCACCATTAAAATCAAGGGTTAATCAAACACCTTAACCAAATCCGTTGGCTACAATTTGACGTGGGATACCAGGCTTCTCACCCCCGCACCCTGCTCGCACTTCAACGCGGTGTCCGCCATTCAACGCTCCATCAAAACCAATCATCATCACCGAAACAAAAAAACTACATTAGAAACCTTCCTCGCATGCGCCTGCAGGTGCTCGCGTTGATTTCGGCCGTCCACGGTCATTCACTCGAGTGAACGCACAAAGGGAGAAAAAATGAACACCGCGCGACTTCCACCATCGTAGCCTCTCCAACCCCTTCTCCCCCGGTGCTCCTTGGCTGGGGGCGCGGCTGGCCGAGCCTCACCGTGGCCGGCCCCGTGGCCGGATTCTGGCGCCCGGGCGGCTGGTTCGCGGAGTGCAGGCGGCGACGGTGGCTGAATCTCGGCGTGCAGGCTACAGCCCGACCATCTCAGGCCTCCTCCTCCACGGTGGCTGATTCTGGCGGCCGCTCGCCGGGACGGGCGGCACCCGGGAGGCCGCGTGCGAGAGGGTCGGCGACGGATCTGGCGCAGGTAAGCCGCGTGTAGGAGGGCCACCGGCGGATCTGGCCGACGAGAGGGGCAGCGAACAGCGGCGCGACGCATGGGAGGGGCCGCGCCCTCGAGGCGACACGGATGGAGGGACGGTTGCCGGCGGCGCGGTGCACAGGAGGGTGGCGCAGGCAGGGATCCTAGAGGATGGTGGCGATCTCGATGTACCGCGGCAGCCTCCGCATTGGTGGTCCCGACAGCGGCGCCCCAGCCGGCCCTCGACGCGAAGCGGTTCCGCCGCCTTGTGCGCAACTACTCCCGCGCCGTCGCGCTCCTCGCCGTTCACCCAAACCAGGAGGAGGTGAGGGTCATCCGAATTCTTCATTACCACTTCGCTATCAGTTCCTTGTTTGATGATCAGTATCCCAGTGTATCTGCTCACCCTGCACCATAGGTGTTTGTGCACTTGTGTAAACCATCATTTGGTACTACCCTAATTGTGTAAAAGTTGAACTATGAAAAAAAAAACACTGGTTGTTTTCATGTGCGTCTCCAAGATAAATCCGTTACGTTAGCACTGACATTATACTAGTATAATTAAGTTGATATCTACTCCGTATTACTTTTGAGGTGGACCTTTCGTCTTTGCTTTTACTCTGTATTTGTAATTGACCTAGTAGTTATGTAAAGATTAAAATTACATTGCATCGCAAACAAAGTATAGGTATGGTATGGGACGAAAACTGTCCAATTCAAAATGTTTTGGTGCTTGAGCGACATTACATCTCGGCGAATGAGCTAATGCATAGCAAGAGAAGAAGATAAAAACTTGGAATTGTAGCGTTTGTTAAGAGCGAAAGGCATCGGCGCATGACTAGTCTGATTCATCGTGAAATTCCCGCTATAGCTGAAAGAATGGTGTAACTTCATCTCATGACTGACTATTGCATAACATCGGCGCATCGCATCTGAATTCTGATGACCCAAAGTAACTAAACTGCTCCCTCTGACCGTTAATAAAACACCGACGCCATGATACGAAAGCAAGTTTCATCCTTGGCCCAAAAAAAATGCTGGTTCCATGGTAGCTGGAGAAAATCGTGACGCGTCTCCAGGCCCCGGCACATGAATTCCTGGTTGCCAAGGCCAAACTTGCGGCGTGGCTGGGACTGGCTGGCTGGGCTGACCAGTCCCCTCACATGAACATTGTTCATATGAACCAGCCGACAATACTTCTCTCTCACATAAACGAACTAGCAACGATACGAACCAGCCAACCGAACATGCTGTTGGTGTGGTTGACATGAAGAACAGGAAAAATCATGGCAGAACTTTCCACAAAGTGCTAGATCTTGTCACATTTATAGACTAGAGACCAAACTAGAATCATAATTAATGCCACAATGAACTCAAGTGGAACATGCGGTAGCTTACCTATCTTGAGGTACTATGCTGTATTTTTTTTTCTTTTCCACTCCACTTAAGAGAATACTATTTCAATCTTAGAAAGATAAATTCAGTAGTTCAACTGGTTCATATAATTATTCTCCTATAATGATACAGAAAGATAGATAGCCTTGTTTGACTGGGGATAATAGTGTTAACAGTAGCTGATCCGGCACCTGAAGGGATCTATGGTTGTGGTGGTTTCTTTGTTAATCTTGCCTAATCCAAAAACAGGGGCTGCTCTGCTTTCAACCTAGATAAAGGCAGCAACCAGGCAAAGTAAGGCTTTTCGCAAAATGAAAAAAAAAAACACTTTTGTGATCGGAACACACACTCGATTAACCAAAATGGTTAGCCAAATCGGTAGTAACCAGACTCAACCCAAAGCCTGGAATAAATGACTCTGTATTTCTCCATAAATCTAGCTAAACAAAATTCTGAGAACATGTGTCTGATGTGTCAAAAGAAAGAAGAACAAAGAAGCAGTCCAGTCATCGGCACAGCTCCACCAGCAGACAAGAACAACGCTTGCGATGGTATCGTGTCCAGAGCACCGCCAGATTTTTTTCAGTTTCTCCATGATCTGAGCTTCTGTTCTTGCCCTATTCATCATCACTGTTTTGTTTATTAGAAATATAAGCAAAGAAAACATCACTCTATACATAAAGCTATATGCATCATCCTGTGCTGAATCTGGATCACTGAAAACACTCATCAGTTAACCATCTCAAACAAGCAAGAATATCACCCAACCTTACCGGCTTGTTTTTTTTTTCTTTCTCAGATCAAAAAGGAAAAAGGAGGAGAACATCACATTAGAAGATACTATGAAAATCCAGAGGACAAAAATATATAGTGAAAGATGGAACCAATATACGGCCCAGTAGTCCAGCCTCATTAGCCCACACCAGCAGACCACCTCACAAAAATTACCTATGCTGAATGATGATCCTCCTTTTGCAAACTAAGCACTGCACCTCAAGATCAAAACAACAACATCACGGTACCTTTTTTAACATATAAGGAGACTAGAATCAGAGAGCAGAAGTAATGATGGGTAAATGGAATCAAACCAAAAGATACACCAAATTCCCAAAGATAAAACTATCACTGCTTCAGTTATTAGCTCCTGGGAAGGCAAATCAGTAAATACACCTGGATTAGACCATGGTCACACAATCTTCGAACTGTCTTCATATAAGAGTAACATATCCATAAGTAAACAGAAAGCAATATACGTTTTCAAGGTGCCATAACCCAATCAACAATTCCAAAAGCGAACCAGAAAGCCATGTCTTTCCTCGGCAATAACAGGCCAGCAACCACCAGTATGAGTTTATAAGACTTCTGTCCAAAGGCAACCAGAACTTGTCAATAGAAATTGTAGAAACATCCCAATTCAACGTAACTACACAGTTTCCCTAATAACCATGTGACACTAAGTAAACATTAGCTGCCTTATAATGACTATGTAGGAAAAAGAGTTGCACAGCGCCACAGCCGTGGACAATCTGAATACTGGAAGTAGCAGGCCAACGACACCATAGTGGCATGGAAACCATTGTAAGCTGCAACACAAAATAGCATAGAATGGTCAGTGAATAACATACAAAAGGCAAAATATCATAGAACTAATGATGTGACAGTCAAAATATAAGATAGAAGAAGCAGAATACATCGATTGGGTAAGATGTGCGGTGAGCACAGCTAACAGTAACAAAATGAAATGACAGGCACCGTTTTGCCTCTTGTGCCCATACACCAGCAGCTAAATTTAACCTATGAATATGTAAACGATATCATCCATACCTGCTTCAAATAACTGAGTATTTTTAGTTGGAGCAGATTTGGGTAGATTGGGAACCTGGCTGACACAATCCTCAAGGACACGTTTCAACTCTGCTTTTGCCTTCTTCACACAAGACTCTGAGTGGCCCTCGATAAACAGGTACAGTTTGCGCTCATTGGCACCAGCAACTTTTCCTTGAGCAATATATGTTCCCCGTATAGTGATAGCAACACCACCTTCCTGAATAGGACCCAGTGTGTCTTTGTGAGTGATCCTCCAGCGAGCATACTGTGGGAAATCATTAATCTCAAGCTCAGCCTCGTAGTGGTCAGGAACCGCATGGCGCTGTATCCGTGCCAAAGCCTCAAGAGCATGAAGCCTAGCTTCATCATTTGCGCTCGGATCACCAACCGCCTGCACGTCCAGGTCATCTCCTGCCTTATGTACCTCTTCCTCGTCAAAATCTGAATCTGACTTCTCCTCCTCATATCCATATTCCCTTGCCTGAGCCTTCTTTGTGGACTTCCGCGCTTCATCCTCTTCCTCATTGAACTTGAAACCGCTTCCACCATAACCAGTACCATGGGTCCGCTCTGTTCCCTGCTTCACCTTTGCCATAAACCGATCAGCTAAGGCTTTCAGGTCCTCTGGAACAGTCTGTTCAGAGAGCTCCAATGCCTTCACAAGGTCTGGCGCATACCGCTCCTCTTCCTCGGAAATAAAAGTCACAGCAGAGCCCTTCCTACCAGCACGGCCTGTTCGCCCAACACGATGAACATAGTCCTCATAGTGGTTAGGGACATCATAATTGACAACCAATTCAAGTTCTTTCACATCTAAACCCCTAGCAGCAACACTAGTAGCAATCAGCAAGCTGCAGATATTGCTCTTGAAATCAGCAACAGTTGATTCACGATCAGCTTGGTCTTTACCACCATGTAGAGACAGGCACTGGTATCCATGCTGGAACAAGTTTTTAAGCAGAGAATCGCATTTATCTTGAGTGTGGACAAAAACAAGAATCTTCCCCTTATCACACCACTTCCCAAGCAACTCTAACAGCCTCAAGAACCTCTCACTTTCTGGTCGCACCTCGACTACTTGTGTGATGTCTTTGTTCACCACACTCCTCCCACCCACCTGAATCTCAACGGGTTTGATCAGCACCTTGCGCGCCAGCATCTCTACCTGCCTTGGAAAAGTGGCTGAGAAAAGCACTGTCTGCCTATCTCGCCGAGTGTTTTGAATTATCCTTGTAATCTGAGGCTCAAAACCCATGTCGAACATTCTATCAGCTTCATCCATCACCAAGAATGTCACTCTCCGAAGGTTAGTGATTTTCCCATTGCTAGTACAGAGGATATCGATCATCCTTCCTGGTGTGCAAACGACAATTTCAGCACCTCGTTTCAGTTCACTGATCTGCTGGGCAACCCCTGAACCTCCATAGACAGCAACACAACTAATGCCAAGCATCTTAGAGAACTTCTTAATGTCCGAGTGTATCTGCACCACAAGCTCCCTTGTAGGAGCCACAATGAGCCCAACAGGACCATCTCCAGGAGCAACAGGTGGCTGGTCTTTGACATGCCTGAGCATCGGAAGGAGAAACGCAAGTGTTTTGCCAGATCCAGTTTTTGCAACACCAATGCAATCACGGCCACTCATGATGACCGGCAGCGCTTGCTCTTGTATAGGCATGGGTTTCTCGAAACCAAGCTTCTTGATGGTGTCAAGGAGCTTGCTAGTCTGCCCACTCTGTAACCATGTCTTAATTGGCTTGGGCACATCTTTCCCGTGCACCTTGAGCTCCAATTCCTTCCGGTAAACGGACACTTCCTCGGATGTCATCTCCTGATGTCCTTCGCCTCGATGTAGAAATTCTTCCGGAACGGCTGGTAGTCAATCTTGGAATGGTCCACAACAGCCAGCTTCTCCACCTTTGTCTTCTTGACGCGCTTCATGAACTCCTCATCGTCCTCATCCTCCAATCCAGCAACACCATCACCATCATCGCCATAATCCGAGTCTGAGTCATCCCCTTGCATGATTCTCCCCATCGCCATCTTCAACCCTTTCTTACCCCCAGTACTGACAGCAACCTCCCTTACACCGTCCACTGATGCTGGATTGCTCTCCAGCTTTGCGACCTCCGGCAGCACCATGGTGTTCATGAACGCGTCAAGCGGATCAATCTCTTCCTCCTCCACTTCCACATCAGTAGGGCCACTGGTAGCATTACCCCCATTGTCGCAATCAACATCCATGACACTGCTTCCGCCCAAATCCGTGCCATCCTCTTCCTCGTCAGACTCCTCGCTCTCCAAGTTCCACTTCTTCCCCGCCTCAGCACCGCAGCCCGCCTCGGCCTTGGGCCCGGTGGCACCCTGCTGCTCGCGGCGCTTCTCCTGCCAGTCCTTGACGCGGATGCGGCGGCGCTCCATCTCGTCGTCGAGCCGCTGCTGCTCGGCCCCCATGCCCCTCTCCTGGTCCCTGGTAGTGGGCGCCGCCTCCGGCTCCCCGTCCCGGCGGCGGTGCTGCGAGGACACGCGGCGGCGCTTGCGGTCGCGGTCGCCGTCCTCGTCCTCCCCGTCCGCATCCCGCCGCCTCGGCCTCTCCCTATCTCTCCTCCCCTCGCGCCGCCGCGCCTGCTCCCTCTCCTCGCGGCCCCGGTCCCGATCGAAGTCCCTGTCGTCGCGACGGTAGCGGGAGGAGGAGCGCTCGTGGTGCCTGTCGCGGTGGTGGCGGGAGGAGGAGCGATCGCGGTCCCGGTCCAGGTCGCGGTCGTTATCATCGCCGGAGCCCATGGTGTCGGGCTGTCGGCGGCGGTCGGAAGGTTCGGGAAGCGAAACCCCAGGGACTAGGCGCCGGTCGACGTGTTCCCGAGTTTGGAGACGTGATTTTTGTTTCGCGGTTTATTAGCAGAAGATAATTGACATGTTTTTACCTACTTTTCAGCCACGGTGTTCAGCGTAAGTGAATAGGGTGAATTTTTGTTCTTTTTATTATGGCGCTTTAGAGGATTGCACGAATCTAATTTCTTTTACACGATAATGCTGGGCCACGTGTGTCCGCCCTATTGGCACGCCGCGTCCCTCAGTCTGCCTCGCTGTTTTCTCCCATCGAGCGCCTTACCCCGTGCCGCTCGCTTGCTTTCTCCTCGCTCCCGCCTGTCGCGCGCCCTACCCGCACAGCTCGCTCCTCGCTTCAGCTGCGCGCCGCTCGCTCCCTCTCGTAGTGATAGCGAATGCCGCTTGCCCCGACCGAGCCAAGGGACGCTGCTGGTGGTGTTGTAGTGGTTGCACTCGCGCACCGCCACTGGTGGTACTGTTGGTGTTGCTTGCGCGTCACCGAATCCCACCCTGACGATCGGTCGATTCTGGCCTAGACCTTTCCCTTTCCTATGTTGCAAACGTATGTTTTAAGTGTTTCAGATGTTTTAGAGGTACATTGCAATTATTTCATAAGGATGTTGCAAAAGTAGATCGGGATGTTGCACATATTGAAGTGTTTCAAAGGTATGTTGTAAGAGTTTGTTCAAAATGTTTCATCTGTTTCGAACGTATGTTGCAAGTGCGTCTGGATGTTACAAATGTTACGATGGCTATGTTGCAAGTGTATGTTCCAAATGTTTCATTTGTTTCCGTCATATATTGCAATTTGTTTCATGTGAGTGTTGCAAAATTAGATCTTGATGTAGGGTGGTCGAACGAGGAAGAGAGAGCTAGCGTGGGAGCCATGGTGGCGTCGGCTGTAAGCTGGCGGCAGCGCTCCACCAGAGGACGCGCAGTCATTTGTGGCCCTGGAGTGGGTCCTCATAGTGCTGCTCCTGATCAACAGCCTACTCGCCTACGCTATCGCCGTCGCGCGGGAGCCATCACAACGTGGTGACGGCGTGACGCTGGCGCGATGGATGCGCAGGGGATAGGACAGGGCACGGCAGGTGCGTCGAACGGGAGCTATGTTTGGACGTGGCCTGGGGCCGAACTTCCCGGCGCTATCCTTACCCTTTTTTATCAATGGATTAAAATAGAATAGTTTCTCAAGCGGAGTTCCTTGAAACCTGCTTTCGTACCGGTGTCGAATCCTTCGAGTAAAAGTTCTATAGACACCTATTAGTTGGATTTGCCGATAATTGACCAGTCATTACCTAGGATATGAACTTAAAATTAATCCATCCATTAGTTTATATGTAGATGCACTAGAACTATTTTTAGCTATTCTTCTAAGTGATTTAAAGAAGGCTACAACAAAATGGCGCTCAGAGCCATCAACAATTCTAGTGCTACCCGTAGACAACCAAAGTCACGCCGATGATACCCTATAGAGCTTAGCGTAGATTATTAGGCATAAAAGCATTTGCTCATATCATCGTATTTTGAATCCAATCATCAAACTAGAGCATGAAATAAGAGAAACTTTATATCATTGTCCAAATTGAAGTTTCCCGAGCATCAGTTTTGAGTAGGGTGGTGGAGGCCGAGCTGTTTTTCACGAATTCGTCATGACTCGAGAAGCTCCTACTCACTGGTGTAGTGTCCACGAGCGTCATCGTAAACTGAGGGAATCAAGGTGGATAACATATCGGGTCTTTATGTCGAGGCAAGCGAGAAAAGCATTTAGGGTGTCCCCAATGCACCGCGCTGGCCAACCTGGAAATATTAAATAGGAAAAAACACTAACAGAGGATGCTTTCATTCGCAACCACGTCCTACGTGCCCTTACAAACGGGAAGTGGACTACAGAGGATTCAACGAGGCTATAAGAGTCACCCTCGCAAGCTACCACCGATCTGAAATGCACGATGCATCCACAAGTAACTAGAGTCTAAGCACCATGCTTACACTACAATTACTACTTTACTCTTCCCGGATAAAGAATAAAACACTCAAATAAGTTGTGAACCTGATGAATAATATAAACAAGAAGCTTACTTAAATCAAAAGTTGATTACCAGAAAAATTTTAGAGGCAAGCTCAGATAGAACTTGGATCCGCCAAGGTACAAGCCGTAGAGAGAGCACCGACAAGCTGACACCTCCTCCAAACTCTTCCCTCACTCTCTATCTCACTATTTCTATTTATAAGACTAGATCCTATGGAAGAATAATCTTCTCTTGATAGCTGACTTTGATCCTGATAAGGAGAATATGAATTAGAGTTTCAGGATCTTAGGGGGTAGGGGCTGCTATATATAGGCCAGAGGTAGAGTAGCGGCCAAAGAATCAAGGTGGAGTAAGGGGCAAGGACTCTAGGAGGAGTAGGGGGCAAGGAATTGCCACGTCATTGATCCGCGTCAACTCTCCCCACCACCGTTGGATGAACCGACCTAAAACCGCCTTAGAATCAACGGTGTAGATCGTAGGAAGGAGTACGCGGGGCGAAGGGTGATGGGGCACCCTCATGGGTCGGGCGGCCTCCCTAGTGGGCCGACCGACCGTGCCAGGTGGGCTCCTCCTTCTGGTGGCGAGGCTTGGGCTCCGTCTTGAGTCGACTTTCATAGGTGTCGTGGGTAGAATCACTTGTTGTCGTCGGTTCGCTTGTTTGGAGTGTATGACAGTGGTTCCAGAAGCTATTTTCTGGATAAATCCTCTTGCAGTCATGAAATCACCAAAGCTCATAGAATTCATTAGTTTAAACTCCTAAACCTTCATTGGTGATTATATTTATGCCCTTATACATGTTTAATTAATGTTTTATAATGGTTGTTAACTACCGTCAACACTTAAGTAGAGGGTAAATATATAGATAGGAATTAAGCATAATGACACTCAGGGAATAGATCTATAAAGATAATGTAAACTAGTCAACCCGGGAGAACAACAGGCAAGGTAGATTCCTATGATATTCTTATTACATGATCAAAGTATATATATACCCGACTATAGCTAAGATTAACTCTACTCTTGTGCACTTTGGGGCGCCGCTTAGACGGTAGAGCACCCACAATAGATGACTACGGTCCTACAATTTAAGAACCTGCTTAATTCAGAGTAGACTACAAAGGATAGACGGGGTTGTCACCTCCCGCTGCTACCACCCAACCAGAGAACAGGGTGCACTCACAAGCAGAGCATCGTATAAGCACCATACTTACATGAGACTCGGCTACTTAACCTAACTGGTAAACTAACAAGCTAAGCGCTCTATGAACCCGCACATAAAAGTATTGATAACATTTAACTAAGCAAGATATATATTCAAAGTAAACATATCCATGTAGATAAGAATATGATAAATTGATAATAAGTCTTACAAGATGTAGAAGTGAAGATACAAGGCTTCGCCAAGCCTCCAAGACTAGATTCTGAACTTGAGTATGAGCCCAACTTGACCCTCACTCCCGAGCTACTAATCTATTATATTGGAGAGCTCTAGAACTAATCCTCCTGGTGTGTCTTGATCTGAATGAGAGATATGAATTAGGGTTTTCAAGATGGCTCTAGGGAGGGGGTAGGGGCTGCTATATATAGGCCGAGGTAGAGTAGGGGGTAAGGAATCAAGGTGGAGTAGGGGGCAAGGAATCGAGGTGGAGTAGGGGCAAGAATCCAAGTGGAGTAGGGGGCAAAAAATCGCCACATCATCGATCCGCGTCAACTCCCTCGACCACCGTTGGATAAACCGACCTAAAACCGCCTTAAAATCAACGGTGTAGACGTAGGAAGGAGTATGAAGTAGCGGACGGTGAGCGGGCTCCGTGGCAGGCCAGCCGGCCTATGGGCTAGGCCAGCCGGCCCACTTTCGTGTCTGTTTGGCCCAAGCTTCGACGTGGTGTCTTCTGAAACCTTCTAGAGTTGGCTTTCGCAGTTTTCGCGGGTTGAATCACTTGTTGTCGTCGGTTTGCTTGTTTGGAGTGTATGACAGTGGTCTCGGGAGCTGTTTTCTGGATAAATCCTCCTGCATACAAATATTTACCAAAGCTCATGGAATTCATTAGTTTTAACCCCTATACCTATGTTTGGTGATGAAATTAAGTTCATATGCAGGATATGTTGACGATTTATAATTGGTGTTAACGACCGTCAACAGTGGGGTAGGTAGGATGGTGGTGCGGTGGTGAGTTGAGGCCGTGGTGAGTCAGGGCAGTGCAGGGAGAACCACGACGTCAGTGTAGTCAATCAGGGCAGTGTCCTTCGCTCCGACGACTCCACCAGCGCTCCGGCGGCTCGGGCCTCCTTCCTTCCCCTTCTCCTCCCTTCTCCTTGGCTTGGTGTGGTTCGTGGGTTGCCACAGAGTGGCGGCGGGGTATGGGAGAGGCGTTAGGGCACCGAGGAGGGGTTCTTATAGCCGGGCGGTGGCCATGGCGCTCGGCAAACGGCGGGGAGAGGTGGAAGGCCACGTGTAGGGTGATCAGGGTGCTTAGGCTAGGGTTTTGGGGCGCACGGGTGGTTGCGCGCCCGCTGGTGCTCCCAATTCAAATCCTGGCGGTCAAAAAGGTGGACGGGGGTGGCGTCATGGCGACAAGGCCACGGCGGCGACGTTAGCATGGCATGGCGCTGGCTGGGGCGGGCTGGCAAGCCACAGATCATGGACGTGGCATCCATCCATGCGTCGATGCCCAACGGCTCGAGGCGCGGACGACGGGGATGCAAGGCGTGGCCTCGTATGCTCTCGCCGGCGAGGTGCTCTACCTCGTAGGGGAAAAGCAGAGGAGGGGTGCGTTGAAGGGGATGATAGGCGGGTCCGCCCGTCGGTAACAATGAGAAAAGCGACGTTGTCGCGTCGCGATCTGTGAGCTGGGCCGTTGTTGGGCCTCATGGGTTACCTGCAAAAGGTGCAGACGGGGAGCTAGGCGCGATCTTTGGGCC